AGATCCAGGAGCACACAGAGATCCAGGAGCACACACTCAGAGGCTGCACACGCAACATGGAGGGAGGGACCGGAGCCGCCTTCTCCAGTGTGTGCTCTGCCGCGCTGGCCGCGGGGACCCTCGGCACTGGGACCGGCCTGGATGGACCTCACAGGTCAGTACCAGCCACAAACCCCCTCCCGCGGGCTTTCCCTTTTTTTTACCCCTGCTTTCTTACAAATGGAGTGACTCCGTGTCTCCGAGGGATGTAATTGTTTCACACTCGGTCGGAGCCCGATAAAGACGCAGAGCCGCGTTTAAGGAGGCGAGCGCGTCGTCCTCTCTTAGCGAATGCAACTTCATTTTAATATTTGCGGTGTTTTTAAGCCCGTGTGTGTGACTGTGTGTCTTTGAAGTGGTTGAGCATTTGAATGGAGAAAGGTTAATTGCCTCCTTCGATCAGATTACACCGGGGGTAGCTCACCCCGGCATGGAGAGAGCAGGCAAAGACTAATTTTGCATCCTGTTCTTCTTGTGACAGCGGTCCTTGAGGCATTTTTGGGCAAAGTGTGTAGGATGTGGTTATTAGCGTGACAGAAATGGCATTTTTTATTAGAAATGCACTGTATCCTCTGTGTAGCAGAGAGGAGCACTCGGGCTGTACTTAGTGTGGAGCTGCAGTAGTCACAGGGGCTCTGTGCCGAGCTGTTTGCTGGATTATTTTCATTTCTAATGGATAACTAAGTGCTGGTGATAGTATATGGGGTTAGGAACGATAGTTTTGGAGGGCCAGGTTATTGTGGAATGAGACAGTGCTGATTATCCTCATGGCAAATGGTCTCCTTCACCCTGGGCTCGGATTTGTGCTGTGGTGGGAGGCAATAAGCCTGATGCTGTTGCACTTCAATTGGGATTTTCTACTTCAGGGCTGAGAGTGAATAAACATTTACCGGTGAGGAAAAAAGGGGGGAGCTGGGGAAGCAGTATTATTTAAAACTTGCTGTTCCCACCTACCTGGGTTACAGATGAAGGCAGCTTTACCAAACCAGGAGTTATTTATGAACCAAGCTGCTGGAAGCTGCAGACACAGGTTCTTATTTCACTGTATAATTATCAACAGTCTTGATAATTTATGTTGACTCCTCCTACTTCACTTACACTGCCAGAAACCCAAGGAGAGTAGCTCCTACCAGCACTGCAAAATTTCTCTGAATTTGTCTGTGTTTTCTTTTTTCCTTGAAGTATTTATCCTTAGGGAAGCTGCTGCTGGATATCTGCTCATTTTTTGTACTAGGTAGTGACTTGGGCACCATGAGAAAGGTGTTTGGGAAATTTTGGTTCTCCTTACTTGGAAACAACACTATATTTAAAAATTAACTGTGTCTAGTGTGCTAATCTGAAGGCTTTACACTGCTCAGCTCCCTTTGTGATGGAAAAAGCACAATATGCAATATACTGGCAATATTTTGTCACCCAAGTATAAAGCCACACAAATGTTGGAGGGAATTTTGTTTGGTGTGAATTCCCTTGGGAATCAGAGCTCTGACATTTGTGGGAAGCTGGCGTGTTAGCGTGTGCAGTACCAGGTCTCTGGCTGAAGGCAGATAAGTTTAGTTTGATAAAATCTATGCAGTTTTCTTCCAAATGAATCTTGTCATCCACAGAAACCTGCAGAATAAATAGGTTTTAGTTCTGGTAGTGATGTCTCGTTTTTTGTTGCTTGTGCAGAGAGTCCAGAGCATGACAGAACTTGGGATGAGCTGATTATGGTTGGCTGTCTTAAGGCAGATCTTTTGCTCATATTCCCTCCGTGTCCTGCCTTTCAGCACAGAGATCAAAATTGGTATTGTTTTTAGCAGCAAGACTTGCATTTAACAGGATTATAGAAGCATTTTTAACTTCATGCTCTCAGTCCAGTGCCCCTGATTGATGCTGGGAATGCGGGGAGTTTGCTGGTTATTGATGTCAAAGTTAATGTGCTGTGCTGATGCATCTTTTCTTCAGGAAAAAAGCCCTTTTCCAAGTGCAGGGTTGCAGAGTCCTTGCCCTGCCCGTAGCAGCTTTTTGGCTGGAGGGGAAGAGGGGTGGAAAAACCAGCAATGCTGAGCTTGTGCAGGGGCAGTCATTGCAAGGGACAGGCTTTGTGTGTTCCTTGGGATGGAGCTCATCCTCCAGGGCACTCTGGGGGGATTTCTGTCCTGCATAACCCATTCTGGGTGATGTGACATGTCACTATGTCACAGTTTCCTCTCTCGAGCTGCCTTTTCCTCCTGACCTCTGTGTGCCCTCCTCTCCTCACGCAGCTTTCCCATGCTCCAGCCCCCCAGGATGCTTTGTGTGGAAAAAAATCCCTTCATCTTGTCTTATGGAAGGAGGGGATAGTTTATCAGAGCATTAGTGAGCATGGCCTTGGCTCCCTCTGGTCTTTTTGCAACAGCCAGTGTATCGAAAGTACAGTGTGACATATCCTCAGTATTTGTATCAAAAATACAGAAATAATCATTTAATCCCTCTGTGTTGATCTTTTTGGTTTAATCTTTCATTGTGTTGAACGATGTTTCTCCTCATTGTTTGATACTCGCTGAAAACTTCAGGCCCTGCTGTCAGGGACAGCAGTTTAATGTTTTGATATTCTGCTGCTGACAGTGGTCATTAAAGGGAATTAAATCCTTTATTCTCACCAGTGGCACTGTGTTGAAAAATGGAGTGTTATTCCCAGCTTCCATTCAGTTATCAACCTGGAGAAAAGGAAAATAAAGACAAGAGAAATGATGAAAGGGAGGAATAAGGTGACTTTGAATGGTGGCTGTGATGGACAGAAAGCGGGAGAACTGGGATGAGGTCTGAGCTTCCCAGTCCTGAAGATAAGTACCAAAGCAGGCAGCTTTTGAGTCAGAGCAGGGGAAGCTTCAGTGTATATTCATGTAAAAAGGAAAAAAAGGCAGATACACACTTTTTGTGTGCTCTTTTGGGTGAATGTACATTGGGAATAGCACTGGGATGCAGGGGCTGAGGTGGAGTGGAATCTCCTCGGTTCCATCCTGTTCCTTGGGTGGCAAAGTACAGATACTCCATTGTTTACTCTGATTTATTTGTTGAAGGAGTTTCTGTGTGCTGTTTCTGCAGAGGAGCTTGCAAACATTTGAACTACATGTCCAGAGAGCAAGTTCAAATCTGACCCTGAGCACTTGGGTGCATCTCACGCTCTGCTGCTGCGTTGGCCTGTGGTGGGACCGGTGTGAGGTGTGGGGGGATGGTGGAGGAGGGCAGGGATCTGCACTTGGTGCCTTGCTTTGAAGCCCCACTTGTATTCCAGCTTCTCTTAGAGCCTTGTTCACTCCTCCTGAAGGTGTGAGTTGGAGTGAGTTGTTGCAGCACCTCTGGAGACCCTCTGATGGAACACTTGCTCCTCCGGCTGCTGCCTCTCCTCATGCAGTCCCAAGGCTGATCTAGTTTTCTTCCTCCTCTGGGTAAAACAGCAGTAGAAGTGGAGTACTTGCAAGAGATTGTTCCAATTTCCCTTCAGAGCTGGTCTGAGGTGCTCTGTGGTGGCAAAGCCCATCCCTGGTGACGGGAGGTGGTGGCCCTGATCGGCAGAGCCGGGCGTGACCTCAGCTCCGCTTCCCACCCCGGGGACGGGCTGGATGTGTCAGATCATCTGTGTAAATTATCTTCATGGTCTCCACTCGAATTCAGAAAGGCCCTGCCTTCCCTCTCAGTGAATCCCACAGCTGACTGAACTCCTGAAGCACCCGGAGGCTGACAGGACACTGCTGCTCCTGGGGTTCCAGACGCTGCGCCACGTTCACTGGGAGACTCCTCGGAGTCTGAAATACCTGGTTAATCAAACCTGGGGAAGGACTTTTAACCTGACACTTCCCATAACGTTGAAGAGCAGAAAGCCCTTGTTCCGTCAGCATGCCAAGAGTTCAACTCAGCTCTCTGGTTTTGCTACAGACAGTTCAAGCTGGGAGCAATTTTAACAGGGGGTTCCACACATCCTGTAGCTTTTCTGGAATAGACTGGTGGCTTTGCTGGACACTGAGGTGACACCCAGGCAGTGGTGATGGTTTACATTCTCTTGCCAGATGAATTCAGTGCAGGTGTAGCCCTGGTGGGATTTAACCACTCTTAGAAGGGGCAGTTCTGTTGTTATGACTCCACTTGAACCAAGTCACTGGGTGCATCTCCCTGTTCCAAACTGTGACATCCCAAGGAGCACCAGCCAGGTGAGGGGTTATCCTAAGGAACACCAGCTAGGTGGGGGGTTATCCTAAGGAACACCAGCTAGGTGGGGAGTTATCCTAAGGAACACCAGCTAGGTGGGGAGTTATCCTAAGGAACACCAGCCAGGTGGGGTTTCCCCCGTTCCTTACACATTATACAGTGAATTTCCTGTTCACAGCACTAGTGAATAGTCAAGGATTTCTTGCTGTTTTCCCCCTCAGGGTTTATAAATTAGTGCTCCAAACCTTGCTCAGGACTGGAATGTGCAGATGAGGTTTCAGCCCTTAAGGAATGTTTTAAACCAGGCAAACAGGCTTGCTTCTTTGGCCACAAATTTTTTGTTTGTGTTTCAGAAGGTTTTGTCCTTTTAAAAGTGAAACATAACGAGATACTACACAAGCCTTATTCAGAAACATTAAATACAATATTTCCAAGCCTTCTCAGTGTATTTTCTTTTATTGATACTTCAGTGGAATATCTTTGCTTGCTATACAAGATAAATGTCATTTGTAAGTGCGTGTTGTATCTCTTTGCAGTGTCTTCTGTGTCACTGTGCTGGATTCTGTTTTGGGAGTGTAAATGTGCTGGACCAACGCGTGTTATGCTTTTTAAAATTTATTTACATACAATACCTGCCTGTTTTAAGTGCATGTGCCCACAGTGATTGTGTGAAAATTTGTGTTTTAAATAAAGATGTGCTGGGACTTCGGAGAACCAAATCAATAGATCCATGAAATCAAGAGTCAAAAGGTAAATAAAAAGAGCACTAAACTACTTGATGCATTTTTTTTTTCCATGGTTTTTGAGCAAATCTCACAATTTGGAGCGATGGGAAAAGGGGCCATGACACATATTTTCATGTTTTTCATTAGTTATACAACAGTAAGGGGAGAACTTTGAATGGCATCAAACACCAGCAAAGCCCTGGCTGCCTGCAGAGTAGGAGTG